ACCAAACTCTATAAGTAAAGCAGGAAAGCAAACAGAAGGGAGGAAGACAAGATAGCTAAACTAACTGGAAAAGTTGTCACAAGGACAAATGCTTGTAAACTGGCCATAAAGACATGCAGACTGGAAATGAGGAGAAGGCTGTCAACATAAGAGTTGTGAAGCCCTGGAACAGCCAGAGTGGGAAGTGGTGTGGGAAGGAACAAACTGATGGGTGTGAAGATATAAATTGATGCATCTATGTTCTTAAATAATGAATAAATAATGCTGGCTGTAGGGACTAAGTATCAGCCGTCTCTTTTCTCTCCACAAGACAAACTCTGGGGACTCAAGCAAAGTTTCATTTTTTATTTTTTTTTAAACTGTCTTATTTTCAACACTTTCACTCCTCCAGAGAATAAATAAATAAATGCATCCATAAATAATAAATATGAGATGGAGAAAAACAACAACAATAACAAACAAACCAAAAATGAAAGCATCTAGAAAAACTAGAGGATGAACCATCTTCTATCCTCAGAAGAGCTCAATTGCACAGAAAGCCCACCGTGCACAAAGACGACACGTCCCTGAATCCCTGACTGAATATTTTATCTGTCCTTATAACTAGAAACTAAGTACATTTAACAAGATATATAGTGTACACAGATCAAAAACATTAATATGTGAGAAACATGAGAAATACTTGGTTCAGTTGGGAAAACAGTAAGAAATTTAGATTATTTTTGTTTCCTTTTTTTTTTCTTTTTCTATTTTTTCCCCCAAAGAAAGTCCTCAAAGAGAAAATCAGGCAAGTTCCACAAAAAGCAATGTTCTTAGAAGAAGACTGACCCACTTATGTTTATTTTTAATAGACCTGGAAGACCTGTGAAATTTAAAAAAGCAGAAAAGTAAAAGCAAATAACACAACCTCAGTTTACTCTGTAAATGGTGTAACGAGATGAATACTGGAACAGTGCTGTCATTTAGGAAAAATAATGTTGAAAAAATTAATAGTGTGTGGAAAAGATAAGCAAATTTTATTTTAAAGCTGAAGAAAAAGCTTTAAGGAGGGCCGATTCAATGTGCTAAATCAAATGGTTAGGATAGCTCTCTGTTTTGGGAAAAAGGAAAACAGCTTAAGGTATGTGCAAGGCAGTATGGCAGGATGCTGTGCCACACTTGGGATTAGTGTCTCTGGATCTGTGTTCAGGCTCCACTTTCTCACTTTGCTTACTTATAACACTCAGTCTGGTGAGGACTGTGAGTACTGCTTTGCTCTAAATAGCAATGACCTTATCCTGCTTACTGCAGCATCTTCATGCTGCCTGTATCTTGAATGGTTTCTGTCCTTTGTAAAGACACTGATGCTGACAATTTACTATCATGTTTACACTTCAGAGCATAAACAAAACAAGAGTAATGAGTTGTCAGAAATATGGAGAACCGCCCGTCCTGATGCTGGCCCAAACTGCCTTTTTTCTTCTTCTAGCAATGGGGATGTAGAGCACCTCTTTGCTAGCTCTTCTGGTGGAAGAACTCTCTTCCCTCTCTTCCGAAGATTTTCTTCCCTTAGCAGCAAGCAAAGAGAAGAGATCCCATTTCAAGGAAAAATTGAAGTGTCTTCTGTCTGCACTAAGTGTAGCAGTACAACTATTGCTGTCCAGGAATAGCTGAGAAGTGGAAAGAAAAGGGCCATAAAGTGCCTAATTAAAGATGGGGGGGGGAGAAGCCAGGGCTTCCAGATCCCATCGCCAGCTCCCTGCTGATTCCTCCTGTGAGCAAGGCAATACCTGGAACAAAACCAATGTCCAAATGCGAAGAAATCTTCTTTCAAAGGCAGTACCAGAAGGGAAGGTGAGCACTTTTCAATCTTCACCTTTCACATCTTTGTTTCAATCCCAAAATTGCTGCTGATTTTGTAGAGGAAGCCCCTTTACACGTTGTGCACAAGACACCGGTGAGAAGGAAAAAAAAATCAAGCAGAAGCTATAAGTGAAACCCTGCCACATCTATTGTCATTTCATGGGATGCTAACCAAAGAAGAGACTTCACAAAGCTATTAATTTGCTCAATTATGCCTGATAGATGTTAGTTCTTTCGCTCTTGAGAATCCATCTCTTGCCTTAAAGCTTGTCAACGAGTCCCTGAGTGACACTACAACCTTCACTGGCAACGGATCTCAGGGCTTCATTATGGAAGATTTTTATATTGTTCAATGATTTGTGTGCATCAGTAGGTGCAATACACTCACAAATCTACATGCACAGACAAGAGGAAGAAAGACAAGGAGACAGTTTGGTTGCTTTGCATTTTCTCCATCAGAGTAAACAAATGTGTTGTTTAATCTTAATAAAAAGAGAGGTTTAGTAACACAGTCTGTTTTCAGTGACTCAGACCAACCACATCTAAAATGCTCATTAGCTGTTGTATTACATGACAAATTGTCTACCTGCTGCGATACTTCACTTTATGAAAAACTCTTCACACTAACTATGCCCACAAAAACAATTTAGGGTTAAAAAATACCATTACAGTTAAATAATAACAGGGGAAAGGAGAAATTAACAGGCAGAAGCCAGGGAGAGATGAGCTGTTTTCAGCTGATGTTTGAAATGAGTCAGAACAAATGCAGCACAAGGATAAAGTCAGAGCTGTAGGGAAGACTCACCGACAGCAGAAATACTCCAGGAAATGACTGCTAATAATGAAAGAGAGAGAGAGTGGAATATTGTGGCTGAGGCTGGTCTCCCTTTATGGTGGGTTTTATAACACAGAGGGGCAATTTTAAACTGGATGGTGTAATGAATGAGGGAGTTAGGAGGAAATGTTTAAGGCTGAGGAGGGGGTGGGCTCTGTCTTTTAAATATGTAGAAAGTAGCCATAGCATCTGTGCTTATGCCTGATGAACTGGAAAAGGAAAAGATGGAGATAGCAATAATGAAGACCAGAGGAGAACTAATTAAATTCAATTTATTATTATTACTCTCTATTTTGCTGTGTTCCACACTGATTCTTATGTATCTATTTCATAAGTCTGCTTGCTCTTCCTGCTGTGCTGTTCTGTACATGGCTAAGCTGCATTGACAAGGATTTTTGCCTGCATCTGGAGTTTCTGGGATTCGCCAGGTAAAGTCACTTTGTTTTGGGGTAATATTCAGGCTGTAGGTTGATCGTTAATTTGTTCATTCAAAAGTTTGAGAGTTAGCCCACAGGATACTGTCTAGTTCCTAAATTATCACAGAAATCAGAAGTAACCAATATTTAAAATCTCTAGGTGGGGCACACCACTAATAAAGATGAGTTTGCATTGGAGAGGAGGGGGAGGATACTTGACATGTGATCTCACGTTGCTAGAGATCGCACCCTGCCTGTAGTCTGAAAGGGATCCCAGAAGTTTCCCACCAGTCCTTATGATCTGAAATCAGTGAGTTGCTGGAGTATTTCAGAGCAAACAGCAAGGGCTCACGAGCAGGAACTGCCTACCACTGGGGAAAGCCTTCTAATCTATGCAGTAATACCGAAATTGGAAGGAAAATATGGTGAACCATAAATTCACACAGAAAGATAATACGCCTTGACAGTTCATGGGCATACTTAGCTTTTGTTTCTTTTTTCTTTTTTTTAATTCTATTAAGCTAAATTGTTATAGGAGAGAGATTCCAGAGGAATCAATAAAACTGCTCCAATTTATCCAACCTAAGGTTTGGGCTGACTTTCTGTTATGACCTACCATCATATTTCCACTTCACTACCCTTTATTACTTGATTCATTCCCTGTAGGCACTGAGACAGAAAGAGTTCTTAAAGATGGAGGTGAATGTGATATATGCAGCGAGCTGATCTACTAGTTCACAAAAGGGATGGGATTCATTTCATCTCACTTTGAGGTCCTGATACAGCTGCCCCACCTGAGCTCCTTGTCTGGATTCCCATTGAAGATGCTGGAGGTATAGTAAATATAGTCAATGGTGTTCTGAGTGTGAGTCATCTGACCAAATGTAGATGCTTATTTTGGGATGTGAAATCACGCCCCAAGCTCCATTGACTCTGCTGACTCACTCTGCATTGACTACAAATGGAGTCTAGGGCAACTTGCCCAGATGCAGACACCCACATGGCAGACATCCGCAGCTAATCAGATGAATCCCACCAAATGGGCTCCAGGTGAAGACCATGACCTTCAAGACATTAGGTGAAAGGGAACTGAGAGCGGTGGGACAGAGGGATGAGGATGGTCATACTACAGGGAGCAGGTTGTGGGATAGGGAGAAGCTGTCTCTTGGCTTGGGGATGGAGAGGAGGGGACAGGAAAGATTTAGCTGTTAAGTATTTTCTCAACATGCTGATCATTATGAGTCTGGTTTTCAGAAATGCTGAGCAGCCACGACGCCCACTGAAGACAATGGGAGCTCAGCACTTCCGAAAATCATAGACTTGCTTCTTAGCATTGAATGTAATCTATATTATTTAAAGGAATAAATGGGGCTTGGGGGGTGGGCATGCAAACAAGTGAATGAGCTTCCTTTTCAGATGCTTTGCATAGCCCTTTCTATCATTATTATTGCTGTTTCCAGACATTATGCGCAAGGCAAAACTACAGCTGGAGCATTACATGGAAATTAAGACTGCAGAAGGTTAGGAAACTCTGACTGCTGTATTCCCTGGGGCTGATCCAAAGCCTAGTAAAGTCTGCAGGAAGAAGCCCCCAGAGTGATGGTCAGAAGATGTTTTATCTGGCTGCAAAGCAAGTGTAAGAGGTTCCCCGAGGTCCATCTCTGCCATGACACTTCAGGAAATTATTCTCTCCTCAGGATGAAGCTGTGTAACTTGGTTGAGCAGATGCAAAAAAATACATCACTTTGGAAAGAGGAGTCTCACTCCTAAACCCTAGTCCTTCCTTAACCAATGTGCTCTCATGTGCCAGGTCTACTGCTGGGTTGTCTTTTCTAAGAGCTATCTGAAGTCACTAGTGCTGAAGAAAATGTAAATTATTTCTTGATTTTTATTTCTCTGCTAGGTTAGTGAGCTGAATGTCCTCATTGCAGCACTTGGTAAACACCTGAGCCTTCACAGAAGAGGAGGAATTATGAGATTTGGGAAAATGTTACGTCTCCTTGAGGCACCTGGTAGATTCACCCCACCGTGCTTTGGAAGGATTCACCTACACATGCTTTGGAATAATTTATGAAATTACACAAGGGCAGCGAGGATTTTTTTTTTGTTGTTCATTTATTTGTTTAAAATCATCTGTATTGCTTCACTGGTATGGTTTGCTGTGTGACACCATGAGCAATTGCAGCCACACAATAGAGATGAGGCCACTTTGTCACTCCCTTGTTTATTGCTATGGGTTGTGGAAGAAGCATTACAGAGGAGTCCCAGTGAAGCCCTCTGTATCCCAAAGAGAGTCAAGAGGCAGTGACTCATGCACTCCAGCTTTTAGAAGGAAAATAAAGTTTTTATAAATCAGAATACCGAAAAAAAAGGAGAATTAATACAGGAAGATGGAGAGAAGGACGAAGTATCCTGGAAAAGTTTTGCTTCTCTTGGCAAAGACGATAACCTGCAACTAGATGCTGACTGAGTTTATCTTAAAACTGAAGACTGGATTGAAGTTGATTCACAGGAAGAATGGTTTTAAAGTATTTTGTGATGGCAGAGACATTTGATTCAGTTGGGCCTTGAAGATTTTGCAGGAAACTAGCTGAAGCAAACTGAGTCATTACTGATTATCTTCAAGAGCTTGTGGAGGATTCAGAAGTACCAGAGGGCTGAAGAGGGACAAATATAGAACCCGCCTATGGAAAACAGAGTTGGCGGCTGGGAAATTACAGACTAGTCGGCCTAACTTCAACTTGTGGGCAGATGCTAGAAGAAATTATTAAGCAGCTATTTGAAAATATCCAGGAGTTAATGATCTTCCTAAAGAGAAATAAATAAAATGAATACGTAATACAGAAAGAGGAAATAATTCAAAAGTAATCAAGTTTAATTTCTAACTTAGTGAGAGGCCAGGTGAGAAAGGAGGTAAGAGAAGATGCTATAAAACTGATGCTAGAAAAAGGTTTTTTCCACAGTGAGGTTATGAAGGTCTAATTCCAATTAAGATAGGACTGATTGGAAAATCACTTTTGAAGAGTAATTGTCAAAGGCTTCTTAGTATCTGACTAAAAGAGGATCTTAAATGATATCTATCAGTGATGTTTCTTAAGTCCAATTCCATTCAAAATGCAAGCACTGACTTGTTTTAATAATAAGAAAAAAAAAAGTATGCCTAAATGCTTGTGAATGATAGCACGCTTGAGTAAATGTAAAAGCATCTAAATGTACAGGAATCTAAAATGATCTTGAAACGAAATTTGGAGAGATGTGTGAAATTGGGAGGAAGAAATTTAATATAGAATCATGCAGTTTTCTATGCCCTCAATGAAGAAGTTAAATGCACAAATACAAGCTTGTTTGACTGCTTGTCAAGATATTAGAAAAGAATCTGATGCTGAAAGGGAACCTCAAGCTCCTTACAAATCAATGATGTAATGTTGTACAAGAAAAATAAATCTTATTTTGGAATGTTTTGATGGAAATATTATCAGTAACTCAGAACAGATTTTTCAAGCAAACTCACTGTTGATGAAGTAAAGTGATATATTCATTTTTGGCATTGCACTTTAAAAACTGTAGATATAAACTAGGAGTAGTCTGGGGAGAGATATAACAATGACAAAAATCTTTGAGCACTTGATCTATCAGGAAAGGTTGGATAAATAACCCTCTTATCCCATTATGGCCATTGCAACCACTTCTCCAACTCCCAACTTTTCACATTCCTGACTTCTCAGAAGAAGACCTACCTCAGAATGCCCAGGCAAAATTCCTTCTTCTTGTGTGCTGAAAATGTCAGGTGAGCACAGAGAATTAGTAAATGCTGACGATGTCTCATTTAATTGTGGACCTCCTTTGCTTCATTCTGTTAATACTTTATAGGATGAGCATCCCTTCTGCCAGCTGCTACCCTAATTTCCATGCACTCTTCCATGCTGCTCATTAGGCCTCCCTTGAGTAAAAAGCCACTCACACCTTTCAACCTCAGCAATCAGCCTTAAGCATCTTAGCTGGACCTTCACCAAGACTCTGTCACAGTCAAAAAAGAAGAATTATTGCTCCAGCAGGTCATTTGATACCACAAAGATTTGAGCCCTGATTTACGTGCCTCAAACTAAACGTGTGAAGTCAACTGCTGTAAGTTCTCCCTGAAGTGTCCTTCACTAGCTCATCCACAAAGGCCTTCCTCCTACAGAAGAAAATCTTAAAAAAACCTTCATTGTTGCAAGAAGATGCTTGCAAGAAGTCTAGGACATGATGTCAGATAAATCAATGTGTTTTCCAATTCCCATAGCAAAAATGTTTAATATAAAATACTTTTCTGCCCTAGTATCCATGCAACAGCATTTTCATTTAAATAATAGGAGCTCTTCCTGACAAGAAGCCTTTGAAAAATGGCACTTTGGAAATGAAATGGAAACATATAATAAGCAACGTGTTTTAGAAATTTCAGCTTCTCCCTTATCTTCAACATTGTTGTCAGAGAATGGTTTTAGTTGGAAGGAACATTCAAGATCATCTAATTCCAACCCATACCTTCCACTAGATCAGGAATTGTCCATTTTGGACATAAGCTACTTTCTGTTTCCATTCTTTCTCTCTATCGAAGCTTATTTTCATTCACCGTAATGGAATTTAGGAGACTCAACATATTTTTCTAACAGTTTCAAAATAACCACTCCAAATTATTGGAAACTTAAAGTCATTAGCAAACCCTTCAAGATAATCTCCTGCATACTCATCATGACCTACTCTAATTCATAAATATTGTCTCCAAAAGTGTCACACACATTTTATATATATATATATATATATTTCCTACCCAAATTGTTTGCTAAATAGAATTGAAAGACATGAAAAGTGTGTAAGCATCTATTTCATCTTTTTTTTTTTTCTCCTCAGCAAGAAATATAGCCTTCTGGACATGGAGAAGTCAGGTTTCCACTCCCAGCTCTGCAAAAAAAATTTACCGTGCGTTCACTTGGGTAACTCAATTATTGTCTCTACTTATTTCCTACTATGTAAATTACAAGGAATATGAATTTCAAAATCTCATCAAGAGTGGAAAGTTCTCCATGGTAAAAGAATTATTTGCACACTGACAATACTCTTTATTCAGTTTTGCTTTTAAACCATTATCTACTGAATGAGAAGGCCACTGAAATAAATAATTCTTCCCTGAACAGTGAAATTTGTTCCAGAATATAAGAAGTGGAAAACATTTTTTGGTTCTGTAATCAACTTGTGGCCCTACGAGAAACTGAAGAGTTCTATATCCTTGTCTAGGAACCTAAATTGTAACTGAATCACATTTTTATATCAAATTGCTAGTTGGAACCCTTTGCCTGAAAAGGACTGATTTTCCATGCCTCTCTTTTCTGCACAGTTTTGTCAGTGAAATTCCTCAGGTATTTTGAAAACAGGAATGAATATTAATCAGAGTATAGAAAATGAAGCAAATTAGTCTGCAGAGCTCTAAAGCATATCACAAAAACCTCTGACTGGTAATAGTAGGACAATAAAGAGGGATTTTCAAGATATAATAAAAGGAAAATGCATCTTAAACTAAATTCAAATATTGCAAGTAAAATTGGAAGAGTAACAATAATACAGCTTAAAAAAAAAAAAAAAAGCGAGAGCATGCAATACAATTTTTGTTCATTCTTTGGGAAGAAGCCAGATGATGTAGTCAGATCATATAAAAGGGATGACCCAGGTAATTACAGGCTTGCCACTCCAACATTGATCTTAGTCAAAATAATAGAGTAACTGATATAGGACTCCATTAATAAAGAATTAAAGAAAATTAATATAAATCAATGCCAGTCATTACTGGTTTTTGGAAAACAGATCTTTGAATGTGATGTCCCTTTTGTTGAGGACACAGCACTATGTTGTGTGGTGAGGCTAATCTGTATTATTATAAAATGAATGTCTGAACTTGTGCAACATATTCTCACGGTGTATATGATAGGAATCAAAGGCTGCCCTAACACAGTAATCTCAGGCTGTTCAAATAACTAGGGAAATACCCCAAAAGAGAGAGAGTCTGTATGTTTTTTACAGACGTACTTCCCCCATTGGGTATTTCTGTTAGTAAGATGACAAATCTATCCTGTTGGACTTGACTCCTTGCAAGATCCCTCTTGCAGAAGGTTCAGGAGATCTCTACAAGATGAAAGCATTCAACAGGGCCAAATGGAAACCCACACAAATGAATACAAAATTCAGGCCATACCGATAAGATGGGTAACGATGGTGATTTTTGCCTGGGTGACTCTATAAATGCTTAGGGGTCAGAATGAATGATCAGGTCAACAGGAGCTGCCATAAGGACATGAAGGCTGGAATGTAAGATGCTGAAGTAGGAATGAAAATATTTTGATAGTAGCATTTGTTATTTCAGTGCTGAGATCCACATCCAAACCTTGAAAAGTTTTGATAAACAGGAAGGAGTCCAGAAAAACTCCGCAGTGTAACTGAAAGACAGAGGTTGAAAGAAAGAAACAAAAGGGGAATTGGAAAGGAGAAAGGGAAAAAGGAAAAGATGAAAAAGCAAGCAAGCATACAACCAATCAACCATAAAAAAAAAAAAAGACCAACACATCTGGTCTCTTAGGGCAGGTTCTGGAAATTTGGAAGTTGCATCAATTTTCCTCATCAAAGAGAAACTGAGGTCTGCTTTGGCCCCAGGACACAGCTGCTTGGGGAACCTGACTTTGTTAATAAGGCCTTTGATTGAGCATGTAAGTGAAAAGTAAAATCCCATGGTTGAACCCTGAGATGGATAACTTCACATTTCAAATCTAATGTGAATGTTGAGCACTGAAGGGAGCAACAGGATGAAAGTTGTGGTCGGCCCTTTTGTGATTAAAGATTCAAAATTGCAATTCCTCCCTCTACCTCTTCTTCTGAAGTAAATTAGTTCAAGAGAAACCTGATCTGGGTGAAATCCACTGGCTGATGTCCAGTTGACGTGATCACAGCAGTTACTGCTGCTTTCATCATTTCTGATACTATAATTGAATCCAGTCAGTGATAAAAGCTTACCAGGTACTTCGGCATGTTGCAGTATGCTTGCATGGCATGACATCTGTTGGCTGGGTGCACAGCACAGTTTTCTTAGTATAAAAAAGTAAAATACAGGGGGGAGCACAGCACAGACCTTCCCAGGCTGTATTTGCCTCACATTGATGTGCATTTTTCATCCCATAAATTTGTTATGGCTCCAGCTCCCAAGCTTGAGTGAACATTCATTTTTCTTCCTTTACATATATATTCAAACAAAGCTGAGCTGTGGGCTGGCAGTAAAGAAATGAGACTCACATTATTGGCTTTGCATTAGGTTTGTTTATAAAAGACAAGGCATATTAATCATAGATATCTACACTGGGAGAAGCATGCAGCAATGCAGGAAATGTATTCATTACAAAAAGCAGGATGTCAAGCAGACTAGGAGGTGCCATGGATTGATGCACTGGCTTCTCACTCATAAAGAAAGCTAAACAAGATTTTCCTCTAGCTCAGACAGAAAGCACAAATTAACCCTTTCAATTTCTGGGTCCCCAAGGAGCAGTACAAAGCAGGCTTTTTTTTGTCTAGTTGCCAATTAGTTGAGACTTTGCACTGGAGTGATAGCTCGTAGGTGATGTTTTAATAAAGGGTTGCAAAAAAATATGGTCCGTGTTATACTCCCAGAGAACATACTTGCACCATGTGGATGGGATAATCAACAACTGAAGGCTGGATGGTCTGGGTGCTGTGAATTTGAAGGCTAATTCTGCCTTGACTTTTAATTCCATGCAAAGAGTTGGTGATACTCCACAGGAAGTAGACTAGCAGGGAATCCATCCTTAAGGCAGAATTTTCCCTTAAAACCCAAGTAAGGAAGCATTATTCTATTACACATATAAGCACTTAGGCACAATTACTGGGGGAAAATAAAGTGTTTTGATACGGACCCACAATTATTAATTCAGTGCTATTAAAATACCACACATGTTGTGCAACTACAAATTGGAGGAAGGAAAGGGATGATGCCCCAAGGAACTCTGCTTTCTAAAAGCATTGGCCACTGGGGGAAAGTTCCATTTGTAACAAGAGCTTTAGAAAAGCTATGTGGGAAACCACAATATAATGCAGTCCCAAAGAACAGAAATTTGATCAAGGGTAATTTAAAGTGACTTGGTCCTAAATTGCTTCTCCTCCAGTTTCTTTCTAGAACTCTGGCCAAGACCAGGCTACCACCTCGTTGCGCAGACACCTCTTAGTGAATGTGTGTGCTATCAAGGGTCGCCTCAAAGACATGGCAGGCAGTCACAGTTGCAATGCTAAAACAGGATATCTTTTCACAAGGCTGTCATGCTACCATGTGGTGCTGCGACATGGTGACATACTGTAAACCCCGGTTATCTGTTTAGTGTTGCATGACTGAGAAAAATAGGATTGACATAAACTCAAGGGAAAACTGGGCTCATTTTGGTTTTATGTGTTCAGGTACATTTAGTGACACTGAAGTTGTTGAGAAACAGCTGTTGATAGAAGAAATACTTAACACAAAGAATGGCTGCATGACTATCTTTCACAGAGGTGATCTTGGGAATTCAGCCACAGGGTATTTTTTGCCGTGTTAAGGAGAATGCCCCAGGCTGACAAAACCTGACGTCCAAAGAAAGGGAATTCACAGAAGAGAGCAAGACATATAAGACATTTTTACTGGAGGTGAAGAAAAAACATTTTTATGATGGGAAATGAATCACCCTGCACAGAAGAAAGTAGAGGAGACCTCCATCTTAGTCTCTCCATAATAATTTTTAAACAGCACAAGATGCAGACTGCTAGCTGTCTGTGGCACTCAGAAGTTGAGGGATGCCAAGGAGAAATAGTTTTGCGGTGGAGGAGAGAGGTGGCATACAATAAATGAGCAAGGAGCTTTCTTTTTCCAGAGAAAAAAAAGAAAAAAAAAAAAAAAACCTTATGCAGTCCATATAGGAATCAGTGACCAGAAGCACGTGAATATCTTTTTCTTTCTCCCCCCCTTTTTTTTTCCTCCCTCAGAACAACCAAGATTTTGATTTTGCCATCCTTCTGAAGTCCTCTGGAGGATTTTTCTCTCCCTGTCTTTACTGAAAGAACTATACTTACAGAAGATGGAGCTTTGAAAGTCATATACAATCAAAGAGTATTCCCTTGGGTATGACATGGAATCAAAAAAAAAAAAAAGGACAGGGGGTTGGAAAAGCAAAGTAACTTAATTTTCAAAAATAAGACATGGAGCCCTGAAGAAAACCCCATTGTCCTCTGTTTTGCTATTAAGCTTCCTCGGGAGAGTAACATTTCACAAATTTAACATAGCAGCCCTATGCTAGGGCTTTTAGCCTAGTTCTAGCCTAGATTAATCCTTCTCTAGCATCTGTTCTGTAACATAAGCAGAGCAGTGAAGATGGTCCACAGGGCAGGAAAACAAATGCCAAGGTCCTGCCCATTGATAAATACACCTTGACCATCTTCACTTAGTGCTCACATGATGGGAAAGATAAGATAGAGTTTGTTACCTATTTATGTGTTGCCTTCTCAGGCAGGTCAGCTTCTCATACACAGCAATGATGCCATAGATGCCACCTTAGATGCCTTAACGCACAACCTCCATCTCTAACAGTGGCCTGTCTCTTCCCAAATTGAGGTGGGAAGCAATGTTTCCCCTCAAAAACGACATCAATCTAGAACTTTCTTAATCCAAAGACCCAACTAAAGAAGCAATATAGCACCCATGGTGCAACTTAAAGGAGAGGGTGGTAGAACAACCAGGAAAATGAGTCACACCCCTTCTCCTTCACACCCCACACTGTCAGCAGCAGCTGCAGCCCAATTCAGCTCAATAGTTTACAGGTGTCTTCAGGAACAACTGTCATAAAAAGCTCCCAAAATATGCACTTTTTTTTTTCTTTCTTGTTTTCTTCTTTCATTTTTTTTACTGCTCTTTAAATTTTGTACAGCAACAGTTACCCAATGAAAGCAG